AAACAGTAAATAAAACAAAGTAAAGAATATACAGTGAAAAAACAAAAATAAAAACCTTAACTCTTGTCCCCTAAAAAACCCTTCGCCGTTTCCGTAAAAAAAAAAAAAAAAATGAATAAAACAAAAAAAATGAATAAAACAAAAAAAATGAAATAATATTTTGCAGTTTGTCTCACACTGAAAAAAGAAAAATTGATTATATTTAAAAACTGAAAAGAAAAAGGAACAAATTGATATTTGAAAACAAAAAAAATTGAAAATGCGACGATATTCACTGATTACGTCAGAAAAATTGACAAGAGTGGTTAGTTGTCAACAGAAAGAATGCGAAGTAATTTCTAAAGTTAAAAAGAACTTGCTTCTATCAAGGGAAACAACTCTACCTCATTTGACGTTATTTCAAAGCTGTGCATCCGTACTTTCGTTGGAGACGATATTAAATACAATTTTGGAATATTAAAAAATTATTTTAAAAATATCACCGGTTGTCAGATTTTAATAAGCTTTCAAATTTATGATCTTCAAAAAGTAGAGAATAAAATATGTCAATGCCATGACTATGCAGAAAGCAACAATAATTTTAAAATATATTTTAATATTTTGTGAATTTTGTCATTTGTGTATTTAAAATAGAAAAAAAAAAGAAAAAATTATTGTAAAAATTCATTTTTCTTCAAAATTTTTTTTTTTTTTTCAGGTAAGAATTACCTTAGTATATGTTATTCAGAAAAGTCATAAAAAGCTTTTTTAATTAAATATTGTCTTAGTTTTATTGGGTTTTGTATGTTTACAATTGAGGTAAAAGTTTGGACAATTCCGCTCTTGTTTTTACCAATAAAATCGATGATTTAGAATCTTCAGAGTCTTGTGCATTTAATGAAAAAAAAAAAAATCCAGATGCAAAAATAAATTTTTGAAGTTTTCATAAAATTAAGTTCGGGGGGGTGTAACATATATAAAAAAAAAATATTTATACTATGACTTTCAAAAAGACAAACATTTCTAAAATAATTTCATTCATTTGTGAATAAGTTCTGAGTACTTGATTTTTGCAAGATTTTCCAAATCAATGTGTATTTTCCAACTGAAAATAGTGAAAACAAAAATAATGCTAATTTAACCTAATTTTGACCTAAAAAAAAAAGGTTTTCAAACTAAATTTAAAAATGCTGCAAATGAAAAAAAATTTTAAAAATAATTAAAAATACCTTGGTCTTCCTCTTTAATTTTAACATAATCATTTACACGTTAAAATTTTTTTTATCAATTTGGGGACCTTTTTCTCCCGAGTATACCACTTTTTTAGCGTTACCTGGGACAACCATATATATAATATATATAATATATATGGTTGTCCCAGGTACCAAAAGAGTAATATATATATAATAATATATATATATATATATATATATATATATATATATATATATATATATATATATATATATATATATATATATATATATATAAGAGAGAAAAAAAAAGTTCGATGTTTTTCTGATCGTTAACATCCAAAAAGGTAGGTTTCTTTATCTAATTGTTGATTTGAGTTAAAAAAAAAAAAAAAAATACTCCCACGTTTAAATAACTAGGCCAAATTTTGACTCCGCCGCAGTGATTTTACTTCTAAATAAGCTGGTAATAATAGCGGACGAAAGACAAACAAGAAGTCCGATTTTTTTTTTTTTTTTTTATTAACTACAAAAAAGGTAGGTTTCTTCGTATATTACTTATTAATTTGGATTCAGCATGTACTTTTACACGGAATTATGACGATTTTGGAAAATTTTAAGGGTTTTTTTTGCGCCGGATTTAAAACCAAAATTTACCATAATAAATAATAATAAAAAAAATAGCGGCTGTCTGTACACTCGGTTTCGATAGATACCATCCATCCCTTCCATATACAACTTTCAGCTCATAGTTAAAATAGCTCTACTCGCTATTACTACTTTCTTTTAATAGTCTGAACTTTCAGCTGTTTTAGTTAATACTTGCTGATTTGATTGTTTTTCACGTCAAAATCAATTATTATTTGAATTCCTCCCCTACAAACTGAATTCTGAAGGCTTTTAAAAACTTGTAGAGAAGAGAAAAGTTTCTAAACGTAAGTTTTTTTTTTTAACCGGCGCATCCAGAGCTTCAGTTCTTTTTTTAGTTTAAGAAAACATAGATTTCCCTTTTTCTTGATATTTTTTTCATAATTTGTATTTTTAATTTTAATGCATTTCATAAAAGTAAAACCATTGTTAGTTTTTGTAAATTTAATTTTTATTTAATTATTAATAATTGCAACAGTCTCTAACTGTTGTCATCTTTACTTTAATTATCAGAAGTTAAACTTTAAAAAAAAAAAAGTTTTTCATTTTATAAATTTATCTGGTTGTGTTTACTTTTTAGTGCAATGTGAAAGTGTAATCACCGGTTCATCAAGTCTTTGGCACCTTGAATACCTTCTCTTTTGTAAACGTAACAAAAAAAAAGAATCGATCCAGTTTTTTGTTTTTTTCTTAAAAAAAAAAAAAAAAGAAGGTAAGTACTTCTTATTTCAATAGTGATCTGACTTTTTTTTTTATCACCAATTAAGATCAAGAAGACACGAAAAAATAAAAATACAAGTTAAAAAAAGAAAAACTCTACTACAAAATAAAAAAGTTTACCTGATTATTTTGTCTATAATCAAAACGATGACAATAGTTTACCAAAAAAAAAAATTTTCTGGTTTCTCTTCAATTTACATTGTAGTGGCCATCTTTTGTACTACACATGTGGTAGTGGCCATTTAGTGTAGCTGTTTTCGGTGAAGGGGAAAACCCATTAGAAATTCTTGCAAAATCAAATAGTCTGATTTTAATGAAACTTTCAGGACTTATTAAAAAATGAATCAATTTATTTTTAAAAGTTTTTTTAGAAAATCTTGGAAAAACAAATTTAGTACATAAAAATAACTTTATGAAATTTTCTAAAATTTCAAACAGTTCGCAAATTGTTTTATAAGCAGGACTCCTTGGACAAATTAAGTACCCCCCCAACTATTGCCAACTTTTTAAAAATGTACTCCAAATCGTAAAATAAAAACTGCAATAAAACGCTCTAATTATCGAATTAGATTGGTTTTTATTTTTCTTATAAATAATTAAGGACATTATTAGCTGCAGGAAAAAAAATTTTGATGAATAAAAAATTTATACAAGAATTGTTTGCATTTTTCTTTTAGTTTTTTTTTTTCATTTTTCTTTATTTTTGAAAAATGTTTTAAAATTCTTCCAAAAATAGTATACGGTGGGTTATTTAAGTTTTTTAAGTGAAGACTAGTGTATTGTATTTACTAAGCGAAAATTAAAAGCTTGATACAAATCATGCTACCAAAACTTTTTTTTATCATAATTACAGATGTTTTTGTTTTTTCTGTGCGTCAAAATGTTTTTTCATTATTAGTCGTAAATCTCGTAAGTTATGGTTCACGTGTTTCAAGGTTTGTCTCCTTAGGGAAAGCCCCTTGACATAATAAAGGTCTTCAGCTTATGTCACTTTCAGCTATTAAATTAAAAATTAAATTGAGATAATTTTATCAATTTAAACAATTTGAATTAACTGAGATAATTTTATTAGTTATTATCTCAGTTATTAAATTAAAAATGTAAATAATTTTATTTTATCATCATTATCTATTGATTTGAAAAAAAATATTACTTTTTTTTTTTTTTCTCTCTCTCTTTGCTCTTCATTAACACATTCTATACGTTGTCTTTTTTTTTTTTTTTCCCTCTCAGAAAACATGTCTACAGCAACCAAAACCTTCCTGGCAGTGTTGGTAAGTTTGTTTCTTTACACCCCCAGAAAAGAAGTCTTTGGCACCTTGGATACCTTCCCTTGATAGTGAATCTTTTTTGTTTTTATCTTTCATTCTCTTCAAAGCATTATTAAAACCTAAAGACATTCAATTTTTTTACTTTTTACTTTTTTAAAACCTTGTTGCAGGTCCCCTAAATGGAGGGGGCAATTTTATGCCTGTGCGCCCAAATATGGATGAGTTTACGTGAGGCCCACAAACATTTTAAAATTAAAACGTAAATCTGACAAGTGAAACAAATGGACAACAAAAAAACGGGATACTTAAACTAAAAAAACTCATGTCATTATGAAAAGCCACATGCTTGGAAAAATTTTTTTTTTTTTTTTTTTTTTTTAGCTAATGTTCCTTAAATTTTTATTAAATAACGATTAATGTGTGAGTCCATTTTAAAATATTTTAGAAAACAGAAAATCAAGAAAGAAAGAAAAAGACAGAAAAGCAAAAAATGAAAGGGATGAAAGAAAAAGAAAGTAAAAGAAAGAAAGAATGAAAGGCAAAGAATGAAAGTAAAATTATTTTTTCTAAGAAAAAGACGACAGACAGGCAGACAGAAGAAAGAAAGAAAAAAGAAAGAAAGAAAAAAGAAAGAAAAGAAAGAAAAAAAGAAAGAAAACCAAAAGTCGTGAAGAAAAGAATGATAATTAAAACAAAGCTAGGAAATAAAAAACTTTTAAAAAACAAAAAAGAAAGAGAGACACAGTAAGAGAAGAAAGAAAGAAAGAAAGAAAGAAAGAAAAAGAAAGAAAGAAAAACTGGAAAGAAAAATCAAAAGAAAGAAATACTGCCCGAAAAGAAAGATAAAAGAAAGAAAGAAATATACATTAAGAAAAAGAAAGAAATTACGCAAAAATGGAATAAGGACCAAAAAAGAAAGAAAGAGACACAAAAACGAGAAGAAAATTTTTCAAAAAGAAAGGAAGAAAGACAGAAAGAAAGAAAGAAAAAGAAAGAGTAGTTCGGAAGGAAAAAAAAAAAAACCAAATGTGGGAATGCAAAAAAGGTCAAAATAAGAAAAAGGCAGAAAGAAAAAAAGAAAGAAATGAAAGAAGAAATTAACCAAATAAAAGGCGCATATGCGGAAAACGAAGAAATAAACAGGACGTTTATGGAAAAATACCAATATGAAGAGAGAGAGAGAGAGAAAAGAAATGGCGAGTGCCGAAGATATGGAAAGCAAAATCAAAACAACAAAAAAAAGAAATAAAGTAATGGTAGCAAAAAAGTCACTACAACTACTTACTATTTGAAATAATCAGATAGTAAAAAATCGTGAAACATTACAAGTGACGTTTTTCATTAGCGACAATAAACTGACATTTTTTTTGTTAACGTTGCAGTCATTAAAATCTGCGTTCAACGAAAAGCGAACATCACTTCGCGTCAAAATCGTTAATTGGTGACGAATTTATAAAGGATTCCATAAACGCAAACAGCCAGGAATTAAAATTGTTTAAAGAGCCACCTTGAATAAATTCTGGAAGAAGACGTTGTCGTCGATGAACCGAATGTGAAATAGAAGTTTCGCTATGGGCCAACAAAGATAAAAAATGTCGTTTTACAAAATATGACAGATTCAAAAAAATACTATGGACACTGATGCTATAATTTGTTGATATTTAGCTTAAACAAATAAAGATTGAAAATATTAATAGAGAAGGTTTACGTCAAAGTGGTTGAATGTCTTCATCCAATGTTTAACTTGATGTTGTAGTCAACCAATACGTATACATTGTCTAATTCCCTAATACATTAATATGAAGTATAAAGTATGAAAATTATTTGCTATAAAAGCCATAATTTATTGTAAATCCTGTTTGACAGCATCATCTCTACTTTTGTAAGCGCGACCATTGAAATCAGAGATGAAAATGATTCTCTAAGACATCGTATCTTCTTCGACCTGAGTAAAATTTCTCTTCTTACTATCGCTAACAGTTCTTGTTCACCCGACCAGGTGACTTTCTGTTTCTTTCTGCATCTCGGGTCATCCATATGTGTGAATGCCTACTTCGAAAAAAGACGTCTCTTTCTGATTCTAAGTATATATATTTTTTTTTTTGCTTTTTTTTTCATTTAAGTTCCTTGTTGCTCACATTTTCTTCTCATGACAGTTGCAGTAAACTTCTATCGAAATAAGAATCTGTAAACCTTCAAGAGATTTTATTTATGAATTAATTGTTCAGCATTCACTGTCATATAGGAGGATTGATATTACATAGCAGTTCAGAACACTTTGTTTAGTTTCCTATAGATTTTTCTAGATTTTTTTTAATATTTTGTTTATCTTTTGGAAGAATACTAGAAAGATGATTTCCATTCTCTTCAGATAGATAATATCTAGAGCGCCAGATAGATACTGTCTGGAAAACCCAATATGTAGCCTCAGGAGCACCAGGTTGCAAACGCTGTAGCACCAAGTTGGTATTATCTTGAGCCATTGCCTTCATCATCTAGGAACCTGGAAAGCTCTAAATGTCCAACAGTCAGATCATTATATCATGAAATATATTTGCCGTATCTGACCATTCTATCACTGACAGGATTTTTTTTAAAAACATGCTACCATGTGAGCGATTATTTACATCCTACAGCTTTTCCTACAGACGAAATGTCGCAAGTATTATCGGTAATATATCGCTATATTTATTATATTCAACAGCTCAGACCTCTGCAAATAAGAACCTTCACAACATGTGCATATCCATATTCCATTGGTAATATCTTGTTGTTAAGAAAAGAAGTTATACTATATATTGCATTACCTCTAGAACCACTACGTTGTGGAACAGACTTCTGAGACTTTGCTTTCCGGATCACAACAATTTTTTGTCTTAATTACAGTATATGTCCGTATTACCTGCACTCATTTCCCATATCTTAAGAGTATATGAAAACCTTCTTCAATAATATTGGATCTTGAGGGACTATTGCGCGTTTATTCAATGCACAAACACACACCAACACATTTATTTAACACACATGCATTAGAATGTGTCCATAAAGTTTGTTAAACATCAAAAAAAATTACATACATTTTTGTATTTGTATAGAAATATTCTGTAAAAACTATTATAAAGTTTGATGTACCTAGTTTTAAATATAACTAAATTAACTAACGTGATATCAGGGATTACTGTAAATCAATTAGCAAATGTTTTCCGGAACTGCAAAATCGTATATTTGTGGAATTGGTATTGCTAATGTATATACGATAGAGGACATATTACAGAAACTTGAATACAATTTCAATAAAACCTTTAAAAAACATAGTTATATTTCTTTTAATCCTTTTACAAATATTTTTGTAACAGCAAATACAAATAAAGTTATAATATTTTAAAGTATACACGAACTTTATAGACACCGTTATATATATATATATATATATATATATATATATATATATATATATATATATATAATTGTATGTTGTGTGTGTGTGTAGGAAAAGGCAATTTAAACATGTGTTCAAAAGTGTTTTTTTTTTTCTTCCTTAAAAGATTTTTATTCATTATATGAGAGAATCTGAATATATTTCATCTTTTTATGAAATCGCCAGTATTCTATATTTCATTTAATTAAAATGAGTTTTTCAACATCATGAACTGTAGGTCTGATTAATTGAAAGGGCAAGACAGTACATGTCAAATAAATTTGAAATCGAATGAGAAACAAACTCAAGAAGGACGTATTATTACAGTTCCTATATGGCATCGTTACAAAATAATTATTACCAACACACGTGTTTGGAAAATGCAAGGAACGTGAGTGTGTGACACAAGAATAATCAAAAGATCACCCCAAAAAACGAAATAGAAAAAAAAATCAAAAAACGATAACACCGGATGTAAGTGATTTTCTTTGCGATGCAGAAAATAATAAAATGTAGACAAGGAATGAGGACAACACAACAGACGATTTATTTTGTCCCATTATTCACTGACGCTGCCTCCTAACCTTGGGCAAACCATAGGTGGGCGTTTGAAAAGAAGAAAGTAAAAACAAGGTGAAATGAAAAAAACGTGGGGATTTTAGGAAGGGGCCTCGATTTCTATTACGCATATTCTCTCATCACTTCTGACTTTTCAACCGCCTCCTGCGTTTTCAAAAAAGCTTTTTTACTACTATTTTCTTTTACACTCACATTCACAGACTTATCCCTTTCTCTCTTTATTCTCTCTGGATCCATATATATATATATATATATATATATATATATATATATATTCTTCCTCAAAATTTTGGTTAACTTCAACATAATCTTCATATACTATATACATTGATAGCAGCTGTATCACCAACAATCACTGTGTTCTATTATATATATATATATATATATATATATATATATATATATATATATATATAGAAATTATCCATGTCAAACAATCAGACTATCATCACTGTCTTGTCCGTATATCCTCGCTTAATATTGTTGTACAGTAATTGACATTTTTAATAATGGCTTATGTAAACCGAAAGTTTTGATTTGATTTGTCCAATGTGATTTTCTTTCTTCGTTAAATGAATATATATATATATATATATATATATATATATATATATATATATATATATATATATATATATATAATAAACTGCTAGTTCTAATTTTTGCCTGAAATGGAATTACGGTGTTCCGTATTGTTTTTTGATATAATTCATTTTGAAAGGCGTTTAAAAAAAATAGCCCGGTGTGACGGTTACACACCTGGCCCAGGGTCGGATCCTTTTGGTTACGGCGCCAACGGTGACGTCGCTCCTCCTGGTCGCTCCTCCTGGGTCCAAGCGTGCCGCTCCAACCCCTTGGTCAGATGATCACCAGCCTCGCCTTTCCCGACTCGCTTCCAATACCTGGTCACTAAAGCAACTGTACCGATCTCCGGTCTGTCTACCCACGCTGTGTTTAGATCTTAGACAGACGGGACCAGCAGGGATTGGGGCCGATACAAGTTGAGTCCGACGGGGTGGCAAAACACAAATAAAAGAGAAAATAAACTCACGAGACAAAAAGATTGCTGATGAAAAAAAATGGGTAACAACCTTTATATCTTAATGTCCGTTACATAAAAACAAAATTGTTCTCATTTCCCGACCCGCTCTGTGGACTATGGCACCAAGCTTCTATCACACAACCTAAAGATTTCGAATTGCCTACTTTTAGAATTGTGTATGTCGGAGTGTGGTTTGGTTCGACACTGGGGCTAATTTCTATCGATCATTCGCAGTTGATTCTTCTCTTCGACTTGAGTTGTATTTCTTCTTCTTCGTCGACTTAGGCTGGAAGTTCTCTTGTCTTCGACTTGGGCTGGAAGTTCTTTGTCTTCGACTTGGGTTGTATTTTCTTCGTCGACTTAGGCTGGAAGTTCTCTTGTCTTCGACTTGGGCTGAAGGATCTCTTGCCGCAACTCAGCCGCAACTCTCTGTCGTCCGAGGTGATCTCTTCTTGCTGCCGTCCGGGGCTGAACTGCCTTTTGTCGATTGGGACCCTGCTTTTATTGACGCCGCAGCAAACCGGGGTGGGTCTGTCGGCGTCAGGGTTTTCTCGATAATTCCAAAAGTCGCATTATTTTTGATTTCTCATTATCGCTATTGTTTTCGCCCCTACTTCCTCACAGTGCCTTTGGTGGGGAGGCGCACACCCATCTCTTTAGTCTCTCGTATGTCAGGTGACCGTTTTTCGACCAATGGTTCCTGATCGGGCATTTCTTTCTCTTCTTTTCTGCAGATCACGTGACCGTTTCCGACCAATTGTTATTGATCGAGCATCCTTTCTCCTCCTTTTCGGGCGTGGTTACATCGTTCTTGTTTTTAAAAAAAAAAATCCAATTTTGCCTTTTTCTGCACGTACGAAAAATGACAATCTTGGCTTTTCTCACCTGGGCTCTGTCAAACAGCCCGCCGCTAATTAGTTGTGACTTCAGGAAAGAATATTGTCGCCATCTGTGATCTGAGACAATCGTTTTTTTTCACTCTTGTTTTTGTCAGACCCGGCAGTCAGAAAATCTTAATTATCTGAATTGAAAATGTCTTTCACTTTATTAATGTGGGGTTCTAATTTTTAACAGGTCAGAATCTGTATATAGTTCCACCGGTCACTCCCCTCAACCCAAAAACACTTTTTCTCTGATTAAGATTTCGTTTTCATTGTTCCCAAAATTTCCTTTATCCAAATTGATAAGGTGTCTTTCACGCAAAAAGTAGGCTAGATGCTTTGACCGATATCTGGTTTTCATCAAGCGGCCCGTTTTGATATCATGTCTTTTCCCTTTCTTTCTTTTTTTATTATTTCTAATTCTATTCTTCCAATTGTCTTTAAAAAATTCGGTCAACATGCTAGCTAAGATATCTTTCTGACTCGTGTTTTTGTTAATGACCGCTTTTTTTGTATTTCGAACTCTTTTCTCGACTTCTTTCTCTTTCTTTTTTCCTTCTTCTTCCCTTTTAGGATCGTCCAAGTACAATCTTAGTGAATTATTTTCAACTCAATTATTTTCCGTTTTAAAAAAAAAATCAACAACCTGTTTAGTAAACCGAGTAAGAAAAATTAAATCATATTTCTATGAATATTTCAAAAAATCGCCGAAAAAAAAAACGCAGAATGTATCACGCCTGGGAAACCAAATTTTGATATTTTGGAAGTGGGATCCAGTCCTGTTTTTTTTAATTTGTTCAAAGAGTTTTTTTTTTTGGTTTGAATGCTGGGCTATGGCCTCATTTGAATAAAGTTGAAAAAATGCGCACCTACATATACACGTTGAATTCAAATTTATTATCTAGATTTTTTACAAAACATAAGATGTATTTTGTGAGCTTTTTTATTTCGAAATTGAAGAAAGCTTTTCCTTTTTTTTTTATGACACCAGTTTATTTAAGGGTTATAGCCTTTTTCAGGAGTTGATGTTCTTAATGAGGAAGAAGACAACTAGTATTTTACACCAATTAAAACGAACGTAGAGACGCTTATACGAAAGAGTTTCTTTCGAAATATTTATATATATAAATGCGATATCTGTTTTTATAGTTGAGATGGGTAAAATGTAACTATTTACATTTTTGGACAGTTCATCTAAATCTGAAATTGTATTTTCCGACGATCTATTTTGGCTGACTTCTAAAGTTTACAAGGGAAACCTGTGATAATATTTCCACTTGATAGAGAGGCTATTTATTTTAAGTTAGCTATTGAAGTGATTCGCCTTTTTAAATATTCATTTCGTAAAAACGAGCGATTATTGAAATCAGTAATCTGGATTTTTTTTGTTTTTTAGTCCTATATGTGTATTGAATTTCACGACTTTTTATCTTTAATTATAAAATTGTACGTAATTTTTCAATGCTTTTATCCACTTTACCAAAAATTTAAATGCCGTATAATTTTATTTAAATAATCAAAAGAGAGATATTTTAGGATATTTTAAGCTAAATGTTTTTTTTT